GGGGGGCGGGGGGGGGATGGGGAGAGGTTGGGGACGAAGGAAACCCGTCCGAGGGACATCTGGCACACTCGCACACTAAAACGCCGTCGTCAAAGAGCACAGCACCCCCCCACACACACACCGCATGGACCCACAGACACCTTGTCCGGGTGGCTCTTCAGGGCCGCGCGGAGGGACATCTGGCACACTCGCACACTAAAACGCCGTCGTCAAAGAGCACAGCACCCCCCCACACACACACCGCATGGACCCACAGACACCTTGTCCGGGTGGCTCTTCAGGGCCGCGCGGCGGTAGGCCTTCTTCAGCGCGTCGGGATGGACGTCCTCCTCCACGCCCAGCACGGCGTAGTAGTCCACGCGCTCCGCCTTCTTCTTGGCCAGCCGCGCGTCGGCCAGCAGGCGGTCCAGGCCTGGGTACTCGGGCTGCGTGCTCCGCAGCTCGGCCAGCTCGGCCAGGCCCTCGTCGTGGCGCCCCAGGGCGGCCAACGCCGCGGCGCGCCGCGCGCGCGCCCGACCATACCCCGGCTCCATGCCCAGCGCGGCCTCCGCGTCGGCCAGCGCCTCCGCCCAGCGCCCCAGCCGGCCGGCGGCCGCGGAGCGGTTGCAGGCCACCTGCGCCACCGCCTCGGCGCGCAGGCCCGGGTCGGCGGCCAGGGCCGCGCTGTACTCGTCCCAGGCCTCCTGCCACCTGCCGGCGCGGAAGGCGGCGTTGCCGCGCTCCTTGGCCCCCGCCAGAGCGCGCAGGCGCTTAAGCGGGCGCGCCGCGCCGGGGCAGTCTGGGTCGGCCGCCAGTGCACGTGCCAGGCACTGCTCGGCCAGCGCCAGGTTGCCGCAGGCATACAGGCAGCGGCCGCGCAGCGCCAGCGCCGCAGGTGCGCCTTCCGCGCCGTCCACCGTCGCGCCGCGCGCCTCGGCCAGCGCCTCCGCCGGCCGGCCCAGCGCCAGCAGCGACTCGGCGCGCAGCGCACGCGCCGGCTCCGGCGCGGGGCTCAGCGCGGCGGACGCCGCCTCAGCCGCCGCCAGCGCGCGCACGGGGTCGCCCGCCGCCAGCGCCGCGCCGGCCGCCGCGACGCGCGCCGCCGCTATCTGAGCCGCCACGCGCTCCGGCGCCCAGGCGACGTCCAGGGCCGCCGCCTTGACGTACAGCTCTTCGGCGCGGTCCCAGCGCCCCAGGCAGGCCGCCGCGCGCGCGGCGCGTGCCCAGCCCTTGGCGTAGGAGGGTTCAACCTCCACCGCGGCCAGGCCGTCGGCCAGTGCGGCGGGGAAGCGGCCCAGCGCGCACAGCGCCGCGGAGCGGTTGCCAAGCAGCGCCGCGACGCGCGGCGCGGCGGCCAGCGCGGCGTCGTAGCGGCGCACCGCCTCGGCAAACCGCCCCGCGCGAAAGGCGGCGTTG